GGAACAGCTGTTTAAAACTACACTTAGTAGAACCCTCTAGGAAACATAGGCTGATCGAAGGGATTTCACCATTTACAGTGTTCCTTTGCCTGGGATTTTTTTATCCAAGATGGGTTATTGGGCAGTGATTTACCGGGGGGGCGGGGAGGGGAAGGGGGCGGAGGAGTTGTGTACTATGAAGTACAACTGCAGCAGTGTGGCCAGCGTGCTTGTCTGGAACAGACTCCTACCCTGCACATGCTCAGGGCACAATGTACCGGCTCTGATCCAACTCAGGCAAGGTCTATGACCGCAGCCCATAGAGGACTTTTTGGGCTGCCCTCCTTTTTCTAAATATTTGGGAAACCATGTGGCTTGGTGGTTGGCCACCAGCCTGGGGACTAGCAGGTCTGGGTTCTGTACCAAGCCCTGCTATTCTATGTCCTTAGGTGAATCACATCTCTGGACCTCAGTTTCCACATCTGGAAAATGGGGATATCAATCTTTAGCTACTCAACTTGGATATTGCCACACCTGATTAAAGTCAGTAAAGCCCTCTTGGGCTGTCAGATAAAGGCACCATATAATAATTGGTTCTCTTTGGAGGCCAGAGTCTAGCAGAGGGGAAGCGGCACTGACTTGAGCTATTTGAAAGCTTTTGCATTTGGTTCAATTAAACATCCTGCTTTAAAAATAAAACCCCAAATCCTCTTGGTTTTCTTTGCAGCAATTGTTACTGTATGACCCCGACAGGCGCATTTCAGCTAAGGCAGCCCTCAACCACCAATACTTCTTCTGGCAAAGCCCCCATGACCCCAAAGACCAGCACATGCTGCAGAAACACTGCAGCTGAAAGGACCAGCGCCTCTGGCCGCCTGTATTCCTGATGCTGAGCTTTGTGCATCAGTGCATTTACCCTCTCCGGTGGCTGAGCAGGGAGGCTGGCTGGGGTTGAAATGCCTCCATATTACAAAGGAACTTGGAGGGAAGTGTTAGTTCTCATTTAGACAGAGGTGTTTGGATGCTCTCAGCCCATTGCTGGGGGTATCTGTTAGGGCCGTTAGAGCCTTCTTGAGGTAGTTGTTACATGTGATAGGGACAGGCCTGATGGCACCATCCATCAGCCTATAATACTGACTGGGGGACACTAAATTCTCACACTGGAGGGCAACTTCAGAATCCTTGTCCCCTGGGCTGGGAGCGTAGCGAAAGTGATGGTTGGTGCAGTGTAGCTTGTCTGTCCTTTCAGCACCCAGTCCTGGCTGTGGTTCAGATAGCCCATTGCAAAGAGATTTGTCAGCTTCCCTCCCTGCATCCGGCAGTGCTTGACCTAAAGCAACGGGGAGAGTCTACTGCATACAGCCAGGAGCGTCGCTGTTTATTGCTATTAAAAAGAAGAGGGGCTGTTAGTATAAGACTTTGTGTTCAACTGTTTAAGAATTTTAGAGTTTTAATTCCTAGTTAAACAGCAAGTGAAAATATCTTAAGAATGATCTTCATCGTGCGCGAAAGAGAAGCCAAAGGCTCCCGCTATGGCAACGTGTGAAGTCGCAGTTCTGGAGAACACGCCCTTTTGTTGTCCAAACGAAAAAAGTTCAGTCACTTGGGTTGGCTTTGACAATATTTTACTGTTTAGCTTTTGAGTGATTTAGCACCAGTTTTTGATGCAGTTGTGGGACTTCTCTCCTCCAGTAAAGAAAATACATAGACTTTATTCCTAAGTCTTGGTTGTTTATGTTATAGGCTGCTCAATTGTTTAGCCACCCCCTGGACTGAGGTAGTGATGGAATATGACAATCTCTCATGTATGCCAAAACCTCGACCTGTGTCTACAGCACCGGCCTATCCAGCTGGTCCATTTCTTTATTACAGGCCTTCTCTTTTCCCTTTGTCACCTTCTTCATTCTTTCTTCAGGTCAGAACTGTCAGATGCTGAGGCATCAGATAGTGTTTTGTGGAATAATGGGCAGAGAACAAAGATATTGCTGCTGCAGGGAGAAACTGAGTTTCTTTTAAATAAAAGCTGGTATGAGTTTGTTTTATTTTCTGAAATACTCTGAAGACAGATGAGTTACTTTGTTCCATATTTTGTTTTCCCAGCTGCCTTAAAAAGGGGGCTGCAGAGACTCTGATAAATGAATTAAACAGCATTACTCTATGGAGATCTATATCCTTTCTCCAGCTGTTGAAGGTAACTGTGGTGAAATAGCAGTGGAACACTGAACCAGCAGCTCATCATGCTATCTGGGTACAATTTTGTACTCTCTTTTGCAATATTCATAACAGATATCCCTACACCTCTTTCAGCATTACTCGGGGGGGGGGGGAGCTATATTGTCTTTCTCCAGCTGTTGAACGTAAGTGCGGTCATGTAGTTGTGTAACACTAAACCATTGGCCTTTTCTTTCCCCGTACCAATCCATCTTGTACTTACAGTGCAGATTTGGAGGCTAGCAGGGATATCTAAACCCTCTCATTCCTATCCCTGGATTTTAAAAATCCCAGAGAGACCAGATAGGTAAGGTAATATCTTTTATTGGGCTAACAGAAATTGGTGCAATAAAAGATATTGCCTCACCCACTTTGTCTCTCTAATGTCCTGGGACCAACATCGCTACAACACTGCAAATAAAACAACGCCTTGTCAAAAGACCTCATGGAACAGCTGCCTTAGAGTTAGGCAGGTCACAGTCAAGGGTTACTTTCAGATTTGCTCATTCCTAAGGAATGAGAACTGCTAAATTCTCATTCATAGGGGTTGGAACTAGCACGCCCTGGCTTGAAGTGGTTTCCATCATACCCAGGGTTTACAGTGTGGTTCAAGGGCTCTCAGCACCCCCACTATACAAATTGTTCCAGCGCCCCTGTCCTCAGTGCCGTTCTCCTAGGAAAGCAGCAGCTAAGACTGTTGCAAAAATTGTTGGTGCAAGGGTGTATTTTAGTGACATTTTATAGTCTAAGTGCTAAGCACCTAGAGAGGCAAAGTATTTCCTAGATATAGATGAATCGTGCCAAAAGAACTCTCTGCCGCTATTTATTCCAATTTTTAAATCAATTTGATTGGCCAATGCTGGGTTTGTTTTTAAGCAGTACATGGGGAGTAGTACCTGTGTTCTCATCCAATCCTGGAGGCGAGACAATACCATGTGACTTATCTGACCCATCCCAATCAAGCAACACAACTTGAATTTCAAACATGAATGATGAATTCCTAGAGGAACGATGTGTGTCCATCACCCTCTGAATAGCAAATCTGAGAAACTTATGACCTGCTCACAGAAATTCCATGAAAAACAAAAGAGGCAAAATCTGCTAAATAAGATATTCATTCCTGGGCCAGTTCAGACTTTGTTGCCAAATCTTTAGCTGGAGGGAACCCCTGGCCGTGAGGAACAGATTGAAATACGGTGTGACGCTCACTGCTGAAATTCCAGGACCATGAGGTGTGGTGCATGAACCTGTTTATTGCCAATTCTGAGCAGCTTTGGGTCAGGAAAGTGCACTGGAGTCAGTAGCGCGATTCAGACCTAGTCCTTCTAAGGGGACTGCAAGGTGAACATAGTACACCACAGACTGCTTGATCAGCTTCCTGCCTCTAAACCATTTCCCCCATCCTATTACTCCTGACAGTAAGTCGGAGGGAAAGTTATACAGAGCAATTAAGTATGCACTTAAGTTACAAAACTCACAAACATTTAATTACACTGTATTCCCCAAACTTTCATCAGCCCTGAGGAGCAATTATTTAACATTTTTAGAGCAGTACCATGTCCCCTTAGTGAGCTGGGAAAGGGCGCAGCATAGGGGTGAATGGTGCTGCAGTTTTTTTAGCCCTTTCCGACAGATGATTAACTGAAAGGAAGGTTGACTCACCTGTCTAGGAAAGCTCAAAGGTTGCAGTACCGTTACACTGTCTGCAGAGGAGAACCATAGCTTCATGAGTTGCAAACCATGGAGAAATGGTTGTTAGAGTTGTTATACAGCTGCTGGAAGACAGAAGGAGGCTACCTGAGGCAGCTTTAGAGAGCGAGCTACTCTGATTGGCTGGCTTCAAGCCTGCTGGGAATCTGCAGGGCTATAAAAGCCAGTTAGCTGCTGCAGGTTAGAACAGGAGCTTGTGGGAGCTAGCGCTGACAGGCACTAGATCAGGCACCTGACTGAAAGCATGTAAGGCTAGTAACACTGAGATTCTAGTGTACGTCTTGTTTTCTTTGGTGTACCAATAAACTGCCTTAGTTCATGAGCTGAATGTCTGGCTGCCCCCTGTTCAAAAGACCCAGGCAACCATCACAGGAAATCATTAGTAAAACCTGTGAGTACTGACAAGCATCTGATTCCAACCCACAGATGATTAGAGAAGTTTAAAACATGCATTAATAGAATGCTGTTGGCCAATCAGCAGCTCTTCACCTGGCTTCCAGACCCTCGTTCTGCATGCTAGGCCACTTTTCCTCCCATCCAGCTGTTGCTTGGCCTTTGGAAAAGGCAGAATGATCTGCAGTTCCCATTGGTTGAAATTAGTTGATTGTTTCAAATTATTTTTGTAAGAACTAGATACAATACAGTCCCCAGGGAGAGGCTGTGCATGAGTGATGGGGGAGGAAGAGAAGGAGCTTAGCTAAGAATGATCAATCCCCTGGCCGTATTGCCATCTCCTAGAAAATCTGGCAGTCTCCCACACCCATTAGGACCGGGTACAAGCACTTTGATTTGGTTCTGAATCATGAAATGCAGAAGACATGATCCTTTCATTTCAGCCGGGGCTGAGCATTGTAAAAAGGCACTTGGCCCAAGTCCCATTGACGTTCACTCCTCCGTGTCTAATTCACGTAGCCACTTCTGGAAATGTTATGCTGGGTCTATAGTGCTAAGGTATATAGGGCCAGCTCCTCAATGGTATTAGGCACCTAAATGCCCAGGGGAGTGAGGATCTGGGCCCTGGTGCTCAAGACAGGGCATGTTTAGACCTACACTGAAGGGTTGGTGGGGACATCCTCCATTTTCAAAGATAACACAACAGCGGAGAGACACCTTCTAGTTTTATTGCATGCATAAGAATGAACAAACTTGGGAGCACATTAGCTCCTTGACACCCTCCCCCCCACTTCAAGGTGACAGGAAGTCACACAGTTTAAACTACCACAAGCATATTTGATGAATCAAAATCCCCTTTACTGTCCAAACCAGGCACAGACGCCCATGCTAGAACCCTTTCACCCCGATGAATGCCTTGTCTTCCTCTGTTGCCCCAGTTATGGGGAGGCAAGATTAGCTCGCTAGAATAGTATGCAGACAGACATGCTAGGCAGTCTGTTCAAGTGAGAATATCACCGTGGCTTAAGATCATGGTGGAATTGGAGGGGACATGGAACTCGTCTTAGTGCCTGAATCGTGACAACATGGGAGAATAGCGCTCAGGGCGATGAGACTGAAATCCCTCGGAGGTGGCTGGGAGCAGCAGCAGGCCGCTCAGAGGATCTTTCCGGCAACGAGTCATGGCTTCCTTGTAATTCATCTTTTCCTTGGTGACTGGGTCAACAAGATCCTTCTCGTAGTTGGGCTCATCCTGGAGCATCCTAGCCAGGTCGTCGCTAATCATGCCTGTCTGGGCTGCTTTCAACACTGGGATGCGACCGGTTTTCTTGGGATCAATGAGCCCCCCAGTCAGGTGTTGGACCTGTAGGTAGGGGAAGGCACTGTCCTTGGTCATCCATCCTTTCTGAACTGCCTCCCCGACAGACAGCCTCCTCTTGGTCACAGGGTCCTCTACACCTGTGAAAGCTTTCTGGGCGTTCAGCAGCCTCTGCATATAGGTGTTGTCGATCAGCCCTCTATCTATGGCTTTGTGGACAGAATACCGATCCCGCGTGATGAGGTCTACGATGCCCCCTGTTGCAGCCTGGGCCTCCAACAGCTTTTGAGCAGTCATGGGATCCACCATCTTCTTGATGACAGCAGTTCTTATGTTGCACTTGGTGTCGGTGGCGGTGTCAAACACTCCGGCAATGGGGAAGCTGTCATCGCAGAAGCTTTTCTGCAAGCTCGAAGGAAAGAAGCTTTGGGTCTGCTGCTGCATCGTTGGAGACGGAAGCGGAGACTTGGAGATGATGGAGCCAATGGACAAAGAGGAGGGAGGCTTGGATTCCCCTGCTACCAGCAGAGCAAACTCCGAGATTGGGATCTTGCCATCCTTGTACAGCTGGTACTCCTCTTTCGTAATCTTCCTAAACCTCAGGGCATCCTCGATGGAGTATTGTTTCCCACTCTTCCTGTCGAGCAGGACAGAAACATCCCCGTTGGGGCCCAAGGTAGTGATTTCCTCCCAGTCGCACTCTAGTTCTTGCAGCTGGATGTACTGGTTTCTGTCTATGATTCCTCTTTTGTATGCCTCATAAGGAGACATATCCTTCCCCGTCTCTGGGTCCAAAATGGAGATCTTAGTGGAGAGATTAGTCTCTCTCATCTCGGTCTCGTGGCTCATTTCTTCCCGGTTGACCCCAGACTGGAGTTCCCGGATGGACCTCTCTTTTTCATAGATCTGGTCCTTCTCTCTTAGGATAGCTGCCTCCAGGAGGGAAAGTTCTTGCTCACGCTGCATCTTTTTTTGCCTGTCATTCTCTGTCTTTTGGCTGAGGAGCTTGGACTCCTCTCGGAGGACGAGGACTTTCTGCTGCTTCTGCCTTTCCAGCTCCCTGAGCTCACTCTCCAGGTTGGCTCTCTCTTGGATTGCCAGGTTTCGTGCTTTCTGGAGATCAGCCTCCTCACGGGACCAGGTCCTTTTCATGCCTTCGGCTCTCTCTATTTTCTCCTTGAGTCGTCGTATGTCCTCTTCTGCATTTTGCCGGGCAGTTCTCTCTCTGCTCAGCAGCTCCCAAATCCGTGCACGTTCGTTTTCTAGAACTTTGTCTTTCTCCACTCTGATAACCTCCTTGTAGATGGTCTTCTCCTGCGATTTTGTTTTCTGCAGAATGTCAGTCTGAACCTGCAGGTTCTTGCACTCCCTCTGCAGGTTCAGAACCTGCATCTTTTCATTGTCCAGCTCCAGACGCAGTCCACTAGCAGCCTGCTCGAGCACCGGATCCTTCTCTAACTTGACCACTTCTTCCATGATGATCTTCTCTTGCACCGGTGTGGGGCTTTCCTCTATTTCCTTTATTCTCATGGTTATTTGACGCAGCTCCTTTTCCAATGCAAGCCTCTTGTTTCGATCTTCCTGGAAGTTAAGCAGCTTCTCTTTCTCTTCCACCACAGACCGAAGCTGCTGTACCTCCCGTTCTACACGACGTCTGTTGCTCACTTCCTCGTCCAAACTCCGGCTCAGTCTGTTGTGCTCATCCCTGAGCTTTGGATCCTTCTGGGTGAGAATCACCTCCTGGACCACCACCTTTTCTTCGGGCTTCCTCCTCTCCAGCAGCATGTACTTGTTCTGCAGGTCATAGATAGTGTCCTCAGCTGCTCTCCTTTTTTGAGACACATTGCGCACCTCTTGGCGGAGGCGATCAGCTTCTTTTTCCAAGAGTGGGTCATTCTCGTATCGGACAACTTCCTTGTTGACCAGCTTGGTTTCAACCTTGGACCTTTCCCTTTTCCATTCATCCCTTTCGCCCTGCAGCCGGATGAGCTGCTCCTGGGACCTGCCATTTGTGTTCACCAACTCATTGAGCTGTTCCTTCAGCCTGTCGATTTCTCTAAGAATCTCTGGGCTCTTCTCAAGTTTCACCACTTCCTGGATCACCTCCTTATACTCCACAGTTGGTTTCTGAGACCTGAGGATGTTCAGCTCAGACAAGGCCTCTTCCACCTCCTTGTCAATCTTTGTCCTTTTACTAGTAACTTCTTGGAGCTCCTTCTTCAGGCGAGTGATTTCCTTCTCTGTCTCTGGATCTACCACGAAAATCTCATTGACTCTTTCTTTAACCTCTACCTTAGGTTTTTGCCTCTCTGCAATGATGTATTTGCTTTGCAGCTCTGCCAGCTCTCCTGTTAACATCAGGTTCTTGTTCCTCTCTTCTTCAATGAGAGTTCTAAGCTTGGAGGACTCTTTCAGCAGTTCTGGGTCCTGTACCACCTTCCTCACCTCCTTGACAATGATTTTGGGTTCTGCTACTTCAATCAGCCTTTCCAGCTCCTCGATCCTACTGTTCAGTTTGATTGTCATGTCCTCCACAGATTTCCTGTTGAAGGTTTCTTTGTCAATTTGCATCTGCAACGTCCTGACGGCCTTCAGCATCTCCGGGTCCTTTTCCAGCTTGATCAACTCTTTCACGACCACTTTCTCTCGGATGTTGGGCTGCTTCTGCTCCAGAACGTACACCTCTTTCCTGAGCCGTTCAAGTTCAAGGGAAGAAGTGGAGCTCTGTTCTCTGAGACGCTTGATTTCCGCACGGAGGCTAGCCGCTTGGTTATCCAGGTTTGGATCCCTCTCGATTTTAGTGACCTCTTTGGTAAGCAGCTGGGCCTCAACCACCTTCCTCTCTTTCTCCATCTGGATGAGCTTCTTGTTCATCATTTCAATATCCGCCTGCAGGCTGTCCCTTTTTCTGCTCTCATCCTTAATCTGATGCGTCATCTTAGCCAAGTCGCTCTCCAGTTTTGGGTCTCGGTAGTATTCGACCACCTCCTTTTCTTCCACTCTTTCAATGGGCCTTTGAGTCTTCAGCAGCAGAAGCCTGTTTCTATGTTCTTCCAGCTCCTGCTGAACCTTGGCCACTTTGCTCCTTTCCTCCTCCAGCTGCAGTTTCAGTGCCTTTGATTCTTTTGTTGACTGAGCCAGATTTTCTGACTGTTGCATTTGCTCATGTTCTGCCTGCATCTCCTCTTTTACTTCCTTCTGCAAGGAGAAAGCAAGAAGTTCTTTAGAAAGACAAGGAGTTAATGTCACTCAGAGCATGGCATCAGTGGCCCTTTCCCTGAATCCTCAAGTCTTACAATGCTGGCCAGTTGGAGAACCGGAATAGGTGATAGCAGACAAAACTGACAATCACTTAGCCTTTGATTAAACACAATCGGCAAAAATGGATGTGGTTGGGGTACTGTTCTCCCAAGTGAATCAAGCAATATTGGAGTTATAAACTAGTATGATCTTTAGGGTATTTGTATCTTTAGGGTTGTCCAGCAAGAGGAAATGCTAAATTCCTACCATGCTGATACAGGCTGTTGGGTGGTTCTCTCTCTGAAATTCCTAGTATCTAAGCATTGGTTAGACAGAGCTGTGAACACTAGTTAATCTTAATTCTGGATCCCTTTTTTCCCCATTGAAAACAAAAACATTTGTTAATACACTCAGTGGCCACACATGGGCAGGGCCTCGGTTTTATGTTTCACTGGAAAGATGGCGTCTTTGGTCAGCAGTGCAATGCCCCACCGGCCATGCTGAGGCAGAGTTCCCTGCTGACTCAGTGGGAACAGTGCCATCTACTGGTTCACCAGGACTACCGCCTCTAGCACAATGCGTCCCAGTCGTCCCCCGTCCCTGCCCCCAGGTTTCCATCCACATCCAAACCCTGCTTGACTTTGAAATCTGGTGAGATCTCAGCTTGAGGCAGGACCCTGAACAATTCTGCTACATCACACTGACAAATAACTTCTTTCCCACCTTGCAGGTAGGGCATGTTCGCTAGAAAAAAGGTTAGAACAGTTTGCAGATACCTTCTCTGCCACCTTCTTGGCAAACTCCAGCCGGCTGAGCTGCTGTTTGTTTTCTGCTGCTGTCTCCGTGTAGAGTTTTGTCACATCATTCTCCTAAACAGAAACAGCGAGAATGATTTGGGAAGTCGCCTGTTACTTGGCTTGTTAGACCTACTGTATTCCTCCCGCATCTTTACCCTCTAGCCCTATGCATCCTCTGTGCAGTAGTTGTAACGCGAGGCTCTCAAAGCACTTTACAACCTTTAACTGACCTATACGATACCTCTGTGATGTTATCATCACCCCTGATTTTATAGCTGAAACTGAGGCATGGGGTGGTTAAGAGACTAGCCCTGGGGCGTGCAACAAGTCAGTGGCAGAACTGGGAATAGAACACGGGAGTCTCGACTCTGTCTCACAGTCTAAGTCCTACATGATACTCTCCCATTTGGCCAGCTACAAAGCAGTAACACTTACTGGTCACAGTGGGCCCAAGTAACGTTCTTGGCTGGTGCCAGGCTTATTAACACGCACGCCCCAGCTGAACCCATAAATAACAGCCTGGCCATGCTCAAGCCAAAAGCTTGGAACTGGAAGACAAATGCAGCCCTCAGCAGCAATATTCAGAACCCCCAAAAGTGAACGGTTACTTTTAATTCAGAGGCTGCTCTAGGGCTGGGTGGTGTAGTAAGTGAAAGCAATGTAGTAAGTAAAGGCCTAATGAAGGCCCAGTATGAGGCCTGAACCAAACTAAAGTAATGGTCAAGACTTTGCTAATATGAAGTAAAGTTAAGCTGTGAGCAAGAGGCAGGCCCTGCTCACAGAAGTTGGCAAGGAAAGGGCTGATGTTGCAGAAATACATATTCATTTAGCATAGTTACAGTATAAACATGGTACCAAGATACACTATACCGGAACATTCCACAGATAACAGGGAACAGACCGACCCATCCCAATGACAGGGGCAAAAGGGTAAAATGATGGATAGAGTTGTTTTGATCGAACCAACAGGTACAAGGCGGCACCTTACTGCGTAGAGGGGTTGTACCTTGCTACGTAGAGGGGTTGCACCTCAATACGTCAGGAGCGATGTGTAACTTGTTTGTACCTGTGTATAAAAATGTATCCCTGGGGTGGTGTCTTTGTCCTGTCAAGGGGGTAGTGGAAAGTCCCGCCACTGAGCTGAGTCCATGGCCGAGCGGCACTTTCTAGCAGTATGCCCGGTAGACTAAGTAATCTACGGGGAACTGAAATTGTGTCAGGGTCGCAATAAACCTGGCCGAGGTGCCTTTGTACCTTACTAGACTCTGTGGTTATTGGGGGTTCTCGTCGGGTTTGCTGTGTCAGCTATCTGCGCAGAGCTGGGGCAGCACACAGAGGGACCACATGCACGCAGCCGAGTGATATCAACAGGAGAAAGCAGAAGCACCACCCCGGTAGCATCTAACAACAGGTGGATGGTCTGAGGAGCTGCTCTGAGCCCACCCAAAAGAAGAGGTTGAGATTTTTCTGTGTGGAACCAGAACCATCTACATGAATTTGGTTTGGATTCACTTGCCAAATCATTTGCCAAGCCCTGGAAAGAGGGCTAAATAGTTCGGATTTGTAGTTCTTCTTGACGTTGTGGAAGTGTAAACTACAGCAACACTGCACTGGTGCAAGCCAGGGGGAAAAAAAAAGTGTTCACAGGAGAGCATCAGCTATTCTAGCAGCAGCAAATGGCCCATGCAACCCAACACCCCTGTCCTTTTAACATGTAGCTTCATTGACTGTATGGTAAGGAAGACACCATCAGCAATACCAAGGCAAAGTAATTCTCTCTATTCTGATATTTCATATACGGCTTTGTCCTGTGCTATCAGAACCAGACAGACCGGTAGCACTGCTTATGCTTCAGGAGTAGGACAATGACTGTAGGGTTGCCAACTTTCTACTCACACAAAACTGAACACCCTTGCCCCGCCCCCTGCCCTGCCCCTCCTCCGAGGCCCCACCCCCGCTCACTCCTTCCCCCTCCCTCTGTCGCTCGCTCTCCCCACCCTCACTCACTCATTTTCACCAGGCTGGCTCGGGGTTGGGGTGTGGGAGGGGGTGAGGGCTCTGGCTTGGAGTGTGGACTCCGGAATGGGGCCAGAAATGAGGGGTTTGGAGTATGGGAGTGGGATCAGGGCTGGGGCAGTGGATTGGGGCATGGAGGGGGTGAGGGCTCCAGGGTGGGACTGAGGATGAGGGGTTTGGGATGCAGGAGGGTAGGGTTAGCATACGTCCAGTTTTTCCCGGACATGTCCGGCTTTTCGGCAATCAAACCCCCGTCCAGGGGGAATTGCCAAACAGCCGAACATGTCCGGGAAAAACACCGGCCGGGCACTTCCTCTCCCGCGGCTGCTCTGCTCCTCCCCGGACTCAGACTTCGGCTCTGTTTAAGAGCCAAGCGGCCGGAGCCAGCGCTACCGGCTTCGGGCAGCCCCCATGCCTCCGGACCCCAGCCGCCAGCCGGG